TGGAATCAGATGATAGTTCAGTCAAACTTACAGTAGTTGATTATAATTATCGCAGAAGAAAATGGAATGATGATAAACAAAAGCAGCTGAATATTCTTCCATCATTTTATCGTAAAGAAAATTTAGAAAATTTTATAGTACATTGTGAAATTCTTGAAAATGATGATTTCATTACGATTACACGTATTGGTGTATTTATATGGACCTATAAACTTTCCGACATTAAGATGCACTATTATTGGAATGATTGTAATGATCGTTTAGAGGGTTTCGTTTTTGAAAAGACAAAGCTTAAAATTCTCTCCGAGAAATGGACTTCAGGAAGAATTCTTCCTGCTTCAAATTATGAAACTATCCATGAAAATCTAGATGTAAAATTTGGCGATAAAGAGCTTTTTAAAGAGTTTTTGACAAGTAATATCGATGAAGAATTCTATTTAACTTGCTACGGAAAAATTCTTATGAAAACATTAATTTCATTAAAAGACGAAAAATGTATTCGATGTTTAGGTCTCAGCTGTATGGAAAAGTTCGTGAAAGATAAAAATCATCTGATTTCTAAAATTTCATTATTGAGTATTATTTTTGAAAGCTTTGAAGAACTATCAGAAAATCATCCTGCTTTTATAGCAAGTGTTTTATCTTTGATAGGATTTGTAGTTCCTTCTAATACCGTAATTCCAGACTCTATTTCTTCACATCTTTCCGCTTATGGAGGACATTATCATTTATCAACAACATCATTTCTCGATATATTATTTTCTAATTTTTGGAATCGTTGGATTAGCTTTCAAGAAACTTTTCAAAATAGTTTTCAAAATTTTCAAGAGAACCATCCTTATTTTCAAGATTTAATTGTACATGTTTCTGGACATGTTATCGATTTCTATAAATATGTTATCAAATTTTATTATGCAAGCCATAATTCAACAGTACTTGCAATTCCTCTGCCAAACTTTGTTTCTTATAAAAAGGATTATAATTTTATGAAAGAACTATTGCTGCCTAGTCCGAATCCCTTTACATATTCTAATAAGGTTGAAGTGATTAATGAAGAATTTTATAGATATCTAAATGGGGAAGCACTACTTAAATTTAAATGGGATTCTTATGGAAAAAAATATTATTTAGTAACTTGGGCAATTTATACTGTTTTTCTTTTATGTTTCGTATATGCTGCCTCATATTACAAAAGTATTTCTCAGGATAATCTATTTATCCTCTTAAATGTAACTATTTGTTTTGGAATTTGGCATCTACTTTATGAATTACGCCAATTTATTATCTCACCATTAATCTACATATCGAGCGTATGGAATTTTTTTGGTAATATGATTTTAATTATGTTAATTTTTTTATAAAATTACAATTAATATCCTTTTTTTTGCTTTGTATTCAAAGATTTATGTGCATATTTACTGCCAACAATATCTTCATTTACATGGCTTCGAAATAACGACATGCCAACAGAATTGGCTACCTTTTCTACTTTATTATTAGAAATCAAATTTCTTTTATTTCTACGAGCTATTGAATTTTCTGGTTCTTATTTCTCTATGATAATTGGAGTTGCTAAAAGGGCGTTTTCGTTCCTGATAATTTTAGGATTTATTATATTTGCCTTTGCACATTCATTACATCTTTTACTACGTCCTACTATTGATGTAACTTTAGATTCTCCAAGCTATTCTACTGATCCAAATGATCCTTGGAATTTGGCTCCAACCTATAATAATATATATCCTAATGGTACAATTGAAGATAACTCTTCACTTATTGAGCCTCCTACTGCAACTACAAATATGTTTATGATGATTGGCCCAGCAGTTGCAGCTGTTTATATGATGTTAACAGGTTAATTCAAACTATTCTTTACTTTTTGAAAACTCTTTGATAATTATTATCAAACTTTTTTTAATACATATTATTATACTCTCTTGTATATTTTAATAGGAAACACAACACCAGTTTCTTACTGGGATTTAGATACTAATCCCACTTTACTTATTTTAATAATGATATTTTCTTTTGTGGCAACTATTTACTTAATGAATTTGTTTATCGGATTGCTAAGTAATGAAATAGACAAAACTAAAACAAGAGAGTCATTTTTAATTCTAAGAGCTGAGGTATGGCTTATTTATAATGTAATTATATTTAAATATACGGTTTTAATATTTTTCATATTTATTAAATAGATATTAGAAGAAATTGAGTTATTATATATGTTACCTCATCAACGAAGAAAAGAAAATTGGTTTCCATTTGTTACGTAAGTTATTTAGTTACGTGTAAAAACAGAACATTATTCCAATTACTTACATATTTTTATATTTATATTTGAAGTTTTTATGAATGCCATACAGTTCAACTCCGTGAACATGTAGTATATACCCAAAAAGATAAATGGACAGGTTATAAAAAACCTTATATTTCAAAGAACCTTAATGAAGTTCTTCTACTCCCTGAAGAACAGCCTTCGTTTAAAGATATTGAGGGGACTATTAAAGGTATGCCTCTTAAACAAATTAAGAAGGATATTAGAGACCTGCCCACTATTGGTCAAATTGAGGAAGTTATTAAAGATCTGCCCACTATTAGTCAAATTGAGAAGGTTATTAAAGATCTGCCCACTATTAGTCAAATTGAGAAAGTTATTAAAGATTTGCCAACTTTTAAACAGCTTGAGAATGATATTAAGGACCTTAAGGATTTAAAAAAATCAATTGAAGATCTAAAAACAAATAAATAATGGTTCTAATTGAAATCGAATAGATAATAATTGACGAAAATTAAGCTATAACAATTTCAATATCTCAAAATTTATGCCTAAGGCCAGACCAATTTAATTCTCTGCTTTACATTACCCCTCTCCTCCCGGAAGAGGGGGAGAATTTGTAGTTTACATAGTAAAATTTTAAATTTTTTTTCAATTTTTTTCCGATTTGTTCCGTGACTGTATAAAAATTTTCCGAAATATCCCGTAGCCCTATGTACATTTATCCAAATTTTTTTTACTATGAGGGAGGGGAGCGCTGAGGATCGGGGGGTAATGTAAAACAGAGAATTAAATTGGTCTGGCCTAACCTTCTATTCAAACTCGAACAATTTTTTTATTTCAAATATACGAATACACAGAATTAAAATAAAAAAATTTTTGTCAAATTTGAATAGTTGGGTGTCGAGAAACCTACCCGATTTTGGTTTTTTTCAAAGATATTTTGATTTTTTTTTTAACTTTTAGCAATGATTTCTCGATAAGTACTGAACAAAATTCAAAAAAAAATTTTTTTTTAATTCTACAAATCTATAGGATTGAAATAAAAAACTTTTACTAAATTTTATCAAGTAGTTATTAAGAAATCATCGCTAGAAGTTTTAAAAAACTTCGGAATTTATTAATTGGATCTGCGCCACATGATCGGTATAACCTGGCACAGAAAAAATGGATCGGATCGGTACGGGTTGGTTTCAGATAGGTACGTACAGTAGCCAACAAAAGTAACGCCCAATTTTTGCTCAAAATAGAAATTTTTTATTAATATAATTTTGGCCGCATATACATTAAAATTTTTTTTAACTAACTAATACATTGCTAAATGCACGTATACATTCAATATTATGTGATTCTTCGTGGCATTGGGCCCAAAACCACCCGAATAATAAATATATTAAGGTCTATTTTTCCTTTTTTAAAAATAGCTATAGGATCATTTACACGTTTTAAAAGGCTTTTAAAACTTTTGGATTTTATTCTTTAATCCTTTCTAAATGTTTTTGATAAGTTTGGGTCGAGGATATCTTATTATTTATGTTATAATTAAATTTTTATTTTAATGATTTTATAGCCTTTCTTATAATGCAAACATGATAATTATTACATTAAAACTTTAAATTTATTTCGACTAACAAACGAGTATAAATACAAACTCAAACTAAATTTATTTCAACTAACAAATGAGTATAAACACAAACTCAAACAAAATAGTCTTTAAGAACCTTAATATGAAAAATTTTATATTTTTTTAATTTAATTCTAAATATTGGACAGGACTAGTCAGTGCCCATGCACTTTGTGCCCCCTATCATAAAATCATTAATATCTCAAAATTTTACTAAGATAACCAAGCAAAAGTGTTCCTCTTACAATTTTACACTACCTTAAACCTAAATTCTAATCCTAACCTAACCCTATCTAACCCTAACCTAACTCTAACCTAATCCTAACTTAACCCTAACCTAACCCTAATCTAAAATCATAAAATTGCTAATAACTCAAAATTTTACTAAAGTAACTCTGTTGTGTAACTTTAATCTAATTTTAATTTTTATTATAGGCCAAATTTTTGCTAGAGGGCACAAAGTACATGGGAGCATTTTTTAGATTTTTCCTAAATATTTATTAACAAACTTTTAATTATACTTGCAAAACACCCTTATGCCAGGGTTGTGGATAGCCATTAGACATCATTAGATATATAAAAACTATCAATAGACATATATTTGTCTAATGACTTTTTTCTATTAGACTATATAAGCTTACAACCTTGCTTATACTATTACCAAACCTTATCTACCTCTAAAACTCAATACAACCACCTCTTTTTATAATTTTTCATTATGTAATATTATACTTTAATATTTGAGGCTTATTTATATCCTTTTCTTTTTGTTTTTTCAAAAAACAACACACTTTTACTTATATATAGTTCCATTTTTATTTTTTTTAATATTAAATATAATGTTTATTTATATTATTCCTTAAGCTGTAAGCAATTCCAGGCAAATTTGCCTGGAAAAAGTGCTATAAATTTGCTTATAACTTACTTTTTTTAAAATTTAAATATTTAAATAAAATTTTTTTTAATAATATTTGAAAATAAGGATTATATTATAGTAGTATTTAATTTTATACAGTCGTACCTCTATACAATCACCTCCCATATAATCACAACCTCTATATAATCACATAATTTTATATGGTCAGTTTTTTTAATAATAAAAATACTTCTTTATAATCACAATCATAGTACTATCACTATCATATTTTTCTAGAAATTTTTGTCTTAATTTATTAATAAAAAACTTCTTTACAATTACATTTTTTTATTGCTACAAATATATAATTATAATATGATAGGGTAAATCTAAGTTGCAAAATTGTGAAATTCGCTATGATCATCTATCCAGTGCATATTTTCCCGTGCACCATCCCGTGTTATCTTCCATATAATTCTGCATACTCTCTATCACGTACCTGTGTTTGACTATAAATTCTGTGTATCATTTTTATAAGCAGTTCGAATTGAGTTCAAAAAATATAATATGAAAGTTCGATTGAGTTCAAATTAGTCCCAAACATTATTTTTATTGACTCTTTGCATACACATGTGTGTATGTATATAATGTTTTGAACTGAAGTTTGAACAAGAACCATACTGCTAAATTAAGAAACTCATAAATCTGTTTAGAACTTAAGTTCTTGTGAACTATCAGCATTAAATATTTAATTTGATACTTTATCTTCTATAGTTGTATTGTAATAGCTATCTTGCCTTAATAATATTAAGCATTATATATGTATTACTATTATATATTTTTTAAGGCATAATGTATGCACAATCACATATACAATACAGTTGTTTTTTGTCACAAAAAAGTCAAGTATCCATTATTAGATAATGCTATACAGCTATGGGTTGGGTTGAGCAAGTTGTTGGTGGTAAAATTTTTTTAACAGAAGCGATTATTAAGAAAAAGGCAGATTTTTTTGCCTGGGCATTAGGTTTACCAGATAATGCTCTAAAATTTTCTAATGGATGGTTCATAAATTCAAAAAAGAAATAATCTGCAAAACTATCGGTTATATGGAGAAGCCAATAGTACGCCAATAGAATTACTTCCAGAACAAAGAGTGAAATTACATAAAATAATTAAAAACTATACTTTAAATAATGTTTTTAATACAGATGAAACGGGTTTATATTTCCACATGGCACTACACAAAATACTTGCATCACAACTACAATCAGGATGGAAGAAGGTTTATTAATTTGTTCTAATACAACCAGTGTTTAAAGTTTAGATATAATTTTTTATGTTCTCAAGAATTTTTATGTAAAAAGTTACAAAATTTTTTTTAATACTTATAGAATTTAGTATTCTCAATAAAGAACATGTTTTAATAAGTTATTATCATGCAAACTTTTATAACAGTAGATTTTTTTCTTGTTATTTTTTGTACATCATTATATAAGCACTCTCCACAGGTTAAATTAACGAATATTGGGTGCATACTGGGAGAAAGGTTTTAGATATGTGCCTATTTGCCTACTATAGATCTGCCAAATACCTGCTGAATAACAGCAGCATATTTATAAAATATCAGGAGATAAATTGATATCAGTAACATAATAGCACAATATTAGGATATGCTGATATCTTACTTTTAGGCCCAGAGTGCTAAGAGTAAGATATCAGGGTATCCTAATATTGCGCTATTATGTTACTGATATCAATTTATCTCCTGATATCTTATAAATATGCTGCTGTCATTCAGCAAGTATTTGGCGAATCTATAGCAGGCAAATGGGTACATATTGAGAAACTTGTCTTCCAGTATGCATCTGATATTCATTGATTAAGTTAGCCAATAATGACTTGTAAATCATAATTGCATAATAATTTCAATATTGGATCATGCGATAATAAATACTGTTCTGTTAAAACAAATAGTTGGCTAAAATGTGCCGCTGTGTCATATATATCAGCTTCAACAAAAAATAGCATAATATTTATCATTACATAATCCAATATTTTATAATTCTTAAAAATTGTACATCACTCCCAAAGAATACTGAGAATATCAAACTTTTTAAATGCTGGATACAATTTAAGTTGGAAATAAGACTAGTTTAAAAAAGTGTCAGTTTTGGAATTTTTGAATTCTCTAATTGATAAAAATTAATTATTTTGATGATCGATTGGAGAACTCACAAATTCCCAGACTTTCATTTTCTTAAACCAGTTCTCAAATGGTAAATTTTATTTGGTTTATTGATTTAAGTTATTTATTGCATTATTTTAGGACCGTGCATGTATTACAGTTATGTTGGCTACAAATGCGACTGGAACCGAAAAATTGCAACCAATAGTAATTGGATCATCTATTAAACCAAGAGCTTTAGCCCATTTAAATTATGACACCTTACCTGTAACATATCGTGCGAATTTAAAGGCTTGGATGCGAACTGAAATTTTTGTAAGTGGCTTTTAAAACTTGATACAAAGTTTCATTCAGAAAATCAGAAAATTTTATTGTTAATTAATAATGTAACAAGTTATTATAATCCTAATGATGATAATGGTCAAGATATATTGGAGCTGGATAAAGAATCAGAAAGTGAAGAATCAGAAAGTGAAGTATCAGAAAGTAGGGAATCAGAATGTGAAGAACCAGAAAATGAAGAAGTGTCAGAAGAAATCCATGCAAGCTTATCTAAAACTCAACATAGCTATCTGAGATTGAGTGCTAGCAATATTAACAAACAACAGGGGAGAGATTCTCTTTGTAGTCGTGGGCGTGGGTGTGGTTGTAATTGTGGGCATGGTCATGGTCGTGGCCGTGGTCATGGTCATGCTCATGGTCGCACTGATAGTAGCAAGGGTCGTCATAGCACTGGCCGCCCTATAGAATTCTAGATCCTTCTAATGTTCGCCTAACAAATATCCAAATTAAGTTTTTACCACCCA